TCTGGAAGGCAGAGGCTGGAGGAACAGGGTGATCTGCTGAAGGGCATGTCGTCTGGTGTGTCAGGATCAGTGTTCTCTGTGAATGAGCTGTGTTAGTCTGAGCCGGCGGTCAGATCTCTGCGTTCACACACACACACACACACACACACACACACACACACACACACACACACACACACACACACACACACACTCAGGTCCTCCAGTGGATGTGTTTAATGCACAGCACTCATCAATACAGCAATACTGATGATCAATACAGGATGAGTGTGCTCTATATGCTGTTTAATAGCGTCTCTCTCACACATTACAGCAGCGCTTCTCAAACTGTGCTGCGTGTACCGCTCGTGGTTGAATATGCGTTGAACACGTGAATATGACATAATAATACTCATTATATGACATGTAGCCTGTATTTCTGAGGTCCAGGCAACATTATGCACTATAAGCTAATACTTTACATTTCAGCACAGCACTTTTCTTTTTACATTGAGCATATTTTAATGTATATATTCATAACATGAGATCATAAACTAATGTTGGAGCACATCTGATCATTTCTGGAAACTGACTCCAGCAGCAGGGGGCGCTGTTATAGCTGAAGATGACTCCAGCAGCAGGGGGCGCTGTTACAGCTGAAGATGACTCCAGCAGCAGGGGGCGCTGTTACAGCTGAAGATGACTCCAGCAGCAGGGGGCGCTGTTACAGCTGAAGATGACTCCAGCAGCAGGGGGCGCTGTTACAGCTGAAGATGACTCCAGCAGCAGGGGGCGCTGTTACAGCTGAAGATGACTCCAGCAGCAGGGGGCGCTGTTACAGCTGAAGGCGGATTCCCCTGCTCTGACTGACTTATTTGATCCTGCTGATCTGAGTGATCTGTCAGGTGTGTGTTCACTCATATCTGTGCTGTGTTGAGCTCGTAGACTCTTCAGTGATGTATAGAGCAGTATAATACTGTAAACTCTGCTCTGACTGTAGCTGGGAGTCAGTGTAGACACCTGAGGACAGCTGTGATGAGCTCTGATGTTCTGGTTCTGGTCATTATCCTGGCCGCAGTGTTCTGGATGAGCTGTGACTGTCTGATTGTGTGTTTGGCAAGGGTTTGAGCTCAGATCAGTGTTTAGTGTGCAGTAGTTCAGTCCTTGTGTAATAATCAGCATAATGTACATCCAGCCGGTGGTTATCACAGAATAAACCCTTCAGTGTCATAGATCCGCTGCTGATTAACCTGTTGTGCTGTACTCTGTGATAACCACCGGCTGGATGCACATTATCCTGTACTCTGAGTATTTTAGCTCTGCGTGCTAATAATGCTAAACTAGCCTGAATAATTGATGTAGTGATGAATG